GATTCCAGATGAATGAGATCATATAGTATTTGGCTTTGTCTGGCTTATTTCACTTGGTGCTGTGTCTTTTTTGTTTTGTTTTGTTTGTTTTTTTAATTGGTAGGATGACGCTCCTGAACGGGGTGATTAGGATCCACTGTTAAAAAGACCATGAAGATCAAACATGTTTAAAAAATACACTCAGTGGATTTCTCTCGTGATGTACACAGGATGAAGCACGGGAAGGATGGGTGCTTATGGCAGCATAGAATTTTATTGTACATTAATGTGGACAAAAATTTTGGCAGTTGAAATGGGAAAAAGGGTGGATATGAGAGTGATTATGAGGAAGGAAATGGCAGGGCTTGAAATCAGGCTTAGAATGTGAAGGGAATGATAAGGATGTGTTGTTATCTCTAGGTTATGAGGCCAAGAAAAGGCAAAGTGCCAGAAGTCCAAGTGGAAGGAAATAGAGAGATGGACGTGTCTCATGTATGACTTGTCTTCTTTTCTTACCGGCTCCTTTCATAGCACAGAAGCGTTTGATTTTGGTGATGTCCAGTTTATCCTTTTTTTCCCCTTTATGACTTGCGCTTTTCGTGTGATATGCCAGACCAAAAAGATTTTCTCCTATGTTTTCTTCTAAAAGTTGTATACTTTTATAGCTTCCTCTGTCTGCCATTTTGAGTTAATTTTTGCATATATGGTCTGAGGCACAGGTCAAGGTTCATCTTTTTTATTGAAGTATAATTGATATTTAATAGTCTCAGTTGTAGAACTTAATGATTCAATAAAGGTTCATCTTTAGACTTATGAATAATACCAAGCTTAGCCTTTCTTCATTGAATTTCTTTTGCACCTTAAAAAATTGGCCATATTTGTTTAGCTCTTTTTCTAGGTTGTGTTCTGTTCATTTATTTGTCTGTGTGCCTGTTGCCTTGCTAATAACATGCTGTCTTGAACATGAGCTTTATAGTAATTCTTAAAATTGAGTGGCATGAGATATAATGGACATATTAACTTCAACATAAGACATTATAGCAGGATATAACATTTTAATATTTGTACATATTGCAAAATGGTCGCAAGAAATCTAGTTAATATCCATCACCATAAAAACTTACAATTTTTTTTTCTTGTGATAAGAAAAGTTTTAAGATTTACTCTCTTACCAACTTTCAAATATGCAAAACAATATTATTAGCTACAGTCACTATAGTGTATACTGCATTCCCTTGACTTAGTTTATAATTCCCTTGAATTATTTTATAATTCCTTTGACTCACTTTACCCATTTTGCACAACCCCCCCACACCTCCTGCCTCTGGCAACCACCAGTATGGTCTCTGTACCTATGATTTTAATTTATTTTTGAGTTCCGCATCTAAGTGAGGCCTTATAGTTACTTTGCTTTCTTTTCAGTTTTTCTCTGTTGTTCACTGACAGCAGCTTGATTATGATGTAACCATCATGATGGCATTTTTTGGCTTAACTTTTTTGGGACTTGCTCATTTTCTTGAATCTGCAGGTCTGTCTTTCACCAAACTTGTCATGGGTTTTCAGCAATTATGTCTTCAAGTATTGTTTCAGCATCAGATCACTGCACTCATGTTCTCCTTCCGGGATTCTGATGAGATGATGAATGTTAGGTCTTTTACTTTTGATTACCAAGTCCCTGAGATTTTATTTCTCTTTTTAAAAAAAGACATCACCCCCCCCCCAACCCCATTGTTTAATTCCAATATATCTGCTCAGTCTGTCTTAAAGTTCATTGACTTGTTACTCTGTCATCTCCATTCTGCTGTTGAGTCCATTCAGTGAGTCCTCCTCTGCCGGATTATATATTTCAGGTCTAATGTTTCCATTTTTCTTTACATCGTTTGTTTCTCTGCTGACACTTAATATTTTAACTTATGTTCCAGAGTGTTTGTGATTGCTCATCTGAGCTTTTTTATAGCAGCTGCTTTGAAGTCTCTGTCAGATGACTCCAACATCTGTGTCATCTGGTCAGTGGCATCTGTTGCTTGTCTTTTCCTTTGTGATTTAGGATCATCATCTTTCCTTGTGTGCCAAATAACTTTGTATTGTTTCCTGGAGAGTTTGAACATTATGTTGTAAGACTTTGGGACATCTCTAAATCTTACCAAGAGAATGTTGGTAATTTGGCTTTATTAGATACGCAACCTGTTTAGATTTAGTCCACAGGTTTCTCTCCACCTCCTACTGGCTGCGGTTCTAATGTCAGTTTAGTTTTCAAAGCCTTTTTAGTGCCAGTCAGATCTGGCCACGTGTGTGCCACCCACTGGTTAGTCTGGAATCTAGGTGGAATCTTTATGTAAGCTGTTTTCAAAGTCATTGGCATGCTAATTAAGATCAGATCGTTGAATGTGCTTGTTGGAGAAGGTCCCAGTGTTTCATGAATAGCTCTATGGGGTTGCTCTCCTGAGCTTCTGCTCAGCTAATGCCCTGGTGCTTTCTGGCTACTCGGGGTTGGGGTGAGAGAAAATGGAGAAAAAGAAGAGAGAGGAAAAAAAGACCTGGGAAATTTCTCCCACTTTCTTGGGCTTGTTCTTTTTTCCTCTTTGAGCCAGAACTAGAGGGTCTTTTCAGGATTTCTGTGTGCTACAGTGCTAGACTCAGCTCCTGCTGGGGGATCATGTCAGGGGATACGGGAGGAGAAAATACAGACTCATCACCTGTTCAGTGCTGCTTTGAATTCTTACTCTTCTCTGAGCCACCTGCTGATATTTACTTTTCACAGCCTTTAAATAGCTATGGCATCAATCTGTGCAGGTTTATAGTTGTATTTGGTGAAAGAATAAAGTTGGTATATGTTCACTCCATCTCAGTAGGACCCAGGGCTTCCTGGGGGTAGGATTTTATACCTTGAATGAAGTCTGAGAAGGGACTACAGACTCTCTTTCTCACACTCTCCTGGGACAGCTGATCCTCGTGTGGAATTGTCTATCCAGCACATACTCTCTCTTTCATATAGTTGAATTTCTATTTGTTAAGTGTAAGTATAACATACCTCCGCTTTAAGTTTTTTTTTTTAAACCAGATAGTTTAAGAAATAACAACAAAAAATTAAAACCCCATTTATAAGACATTTCTTTAGAAACATGTGCATTATAGGCCAATCATTTCATTTGGCATCTATTTGCTGTGATATGCTTTTATGCATTGTTTGATTCAATTTTGTAATAATTGGGTGGTTTGTAGATGCTATCATTTTGTTAGATTAGATCGTTAAATTTCTAAAGTGTTTGTGCTTTGTTGCTTCCAAAAAGGACTTTCTTAAAAGAAAGTGTACACTAAATAATGTCTGTTTTCATTAATTGAAATGAGATCCCTACCCCTTGGTTTCTAAACTACCTCTGTGGAAGGAGTAGGAGCAGTAATGCTTTTAGTAATAACAGGCACAGTCTTTACTCCTGCCTTTACATTAGGCCAGGCACTGTCTACATGAATTACTGTATTTAATCTCTCACCAGAATAAGCTGCACGAAGGTGGGGATTTTGTCGCTTGTGTCCACTGCCTTGTTTCCAGTACATCTCACTGTGCCTGCCACTTAAGAGCTGCTCAGTAAATATTTGCCAAATGAACGTTTAGTGATGTATATACAACTTTATGCCATTTCAGTGTTGAGGAATGAATTTTTAGATGAAAGCATTTGCCCCAGGATTTCCAGTAATGAAACTGGAACTGGTGCCAGTAGGATGGTCATTTTGACAGTGCATTATGTGAACCTAATTGTAGCCAGATGTGTACAGTAGTACACTATGAATTATTCTTGCCTTAGGGCATGTTGAATACTTTTTCTTAGAGTGTCAGATAGTGAATATTTTAGACTTTTCCTGGTGGATGCCCTTTGCTGTGGCTGCAGATCTTTGCTATTGCAGTACACGTGAGTAGGTATAGCTGTGTTTCCACAAGATGTCACTTGCAAAAACAAATGACAGGTCAGATCTGGCTCAGGGTAATATAGTTTCGCTAGTTTACCAATCCCTACTTTAGGTGCTCTTTTGTGTTCTTATTGAAGCCTTTCACTATAATTGTTTTCTAAGATATGTTTAGTGACATGTTTAATCTATGTAAACAATAGGGATATGGGAAACTGCCTTAATTAATCCAGAACTCTGCCGAGATAACATCACAGTTGGAAACAAGACATGGCTCTGTATTTTCAACACAGGAAGCACTCTATGAGTTTGCTTAAATATTGACTTTTTAATATTTTAGAAGCTTTCAAAGGGACAGTGTCTTATCTTTCTCTGCATCAGACTTATACTTTTTTTTTTTAAACTTTTTTTTTTTTTATAGAGGCATGTTTTTATTTATTTATTTGTTTGTTCGTTTGTTTCGTTTATACATGCACTGGGTACAGTCAGAAGCGCGGGAGGGTGAGAGAATTCACCAGAGCCAGAGCGGGGAGCAGAGCAGGCAGAAGGACCGAAGTACACTGCTGAGGGGAGCAGCGGGCGGCAGGAGAGGTCTGCGGGCCTTGTGGGACCCTCCTCTGGTGGCCGGGGAGCAGCCGGGGATCGAACTGGCGCTGCAGAGGCTGCGGGCAGCTTCACAACCCAGCGCTCAACCGCTGCGCCACCGGGGAGGCCCTGAGACTTATACTTTTTTTTTTAAGATTTATGTTTTATTTATACAATAGCTGGGGTGTAGGCCAGAGGCGTGGGAGGGTGAGAGGATTCACCAGAGACAGAGCGGGGAGCAGAACAGGCAGACAGACCGAAAGCACTGCTGAGGGGAGCAGCAGGCGAGATAGGAGAGGTCTTCGGCGCCATGTGGGACTCTCCCTGGCTGGCCGGGAATCGAACCCGTGCTGCAGAGGCTGCGGACAGCCCCCCAGTGCTGCACTCAACCTGCTGTGCCCCCGGGGAGGCCCCAGACTTCTACTTTATTTTTACTCTTTATAGCTTGGTTTCCTGTACCTCCTCACAACAGATAAGCACTCTGCTGAATTGTTAAACTTACAGTGGCTTGTTCTATTTTTCTTCATCTCCAGGATGATTGAGGAAAGTGCAAATAAGCGGAAGACCATGGCAGAGAAGAGGCAGCTGTTCATAGAAATGCGTGAGTCTTGGGTGCTTCTAAAGTCCTCGTTTGTATGTGTGGGAATGCTTTATTTTCTGATGAAGTCACAACTTTAATCAGGTAGCAATTTTATGTTATGAGCTTTAGAAAGGGAAGGATGTTATAGAATCATGACGTTGTAAGACCCCAAGCCAGAGCTTGTGTTATTATTGAATTGCTTAAGCAATTCTTTTTTTTTTTTTTTTTTTTAATTTTCTAGAGGCATGTCTTATTTATTTATTTATTATTTGTTTGGTTTATACATGCACTGGGTACAGTCAGAAGCGCGGGAGGGTGAGAGAATTCACCAGAGCCAGAGCAGGGAGCAGAGCAGGCGGAAGGACCGAAGTACACTGCTGAGGGGAGCAGCGGGCGGCAGGAGAGGTCTACGCGCCATGTGGGACCCTCCTCCGGTGGCCGGGGAGCAACCGGGGATCGAACCGGCGCCGCAGAGGCCGCGGGTAGCTTCGCAACCCAGCGCTCAACCGCTGCGCCACCGGGGAGGCCCGCTTAAGCAATTCTTAAGCAAGGAAATAGTAGTAAGGCAGAAAAGCTACCTAGGATATCTGAATTGAAGGTTTAGCCCTCTTGTTGTAAATCCATTGTTACCATGGCCTGGCAGGTGTTGCTAATTAATCCATTATGCAAATTACCTTACAGGTAATTTCTGTCCTTAGAAGACAGCGCTATAGGAAAAATAAAAACTGTGAATGTGTACTTTGGCAGATTACTTTATTCTACCATTTAAAATTACATAAAATTCAAGCAAAGAGAAGATGGCTAAAATGAGTGGGTGGTTCCCAGGATTTGAAGGATCCTTTTGCTCTGTGACTTCTTGTCTATGTGACCTTACCTAATACATGCATCCTTGCTAGACCTCGTATTCTTTGCCATCAAATCAGGTTGTGTCTGGACCAGTGATTGTAAAACCTTTTAATAGCATTTTACTCCATTTTTCAGATAAGATATTGCAAGGAGTAGCAACCTGTGAGTAATACACAATTGGTACTGCTTGGTTGGGGGTGGGGGTGGCAGGAGCCCCGTCTGACATAGTCTCTGAAGTCTGCATCTCCCAGGGTGACACTCAGTGGGCTAAGTCTCAGAGTATCCTTTCAATTCTGGAGATGTTCTGATCTGTAGAGTCTTAGTAATGGGAGTAGAGTTTGGCTCAGTGTAGATCTGTGTTACCCTGTCAAGCATCAGCTAGATAACAAGACAGTGGAGAGGAAATCCTGGCATTGGGCAGGCAGCCAGACTGGGGGATATTTAAGGACTTTTGTAGTTTTGAGTGTTTAATTGCTAGTCATTCAAGCCATACACTCTGGAGTCACTTCCCTCCACCTCACCTTCTGCCTCCAAAGAAATCACAAATTGCAGCTGAGTTGACCGCATAAGCGAGGTTTGACTCTGTCCCGCACAGCATCATGGCTTTGAATCCAGTCTCTGAGTTGCCTGCCTGGGGTTGGGTCTGGGCTCCCTGACTTCCTGGCAGCATAACCTTAGGTACGTTACTTGGTCCGTCTGTGCCTGCTTTCTTACCCAAAAATAGGAATAGTGCCTTCTTCACAGAATTTTGTGAAGAATAAGTAAATAAGTGAAGTAATGTGAGCATCATGCTTTAGAAGAGTGAAAAAACACAGAATAATAGGAACTTAATTTGGTAGCTAAGCGTATTGCTGTTTTTGTTGCTGTTCCTTTTCTGTTTTTTTTTTTTTTTTTTTTTTTTGTGGGACCCTTGCCGGCTGCTGGGGAACGAACCAAACCGGCGCTGCAAAGGCTGCGGGCAGCCTCGCAGCCCAGTGCTCAACCACTGCGCCACCAGGGGAGGCCCTGTTCCTTTTCTGAACAAAAGCAGTAGACTTCTGATCCCTTCTTCTAGTCTTGACCTTTTCTTTTTTTTGATAAAAACCCTCCATGTTTATTACCCAATTCTTTTTTTATACGAATGTTAATCTTTATTAATATTATTGCTGCTACTCAAACTACAACTCCTACAGTTAGTGCTGCCCTGGTTATTGTTATTAACTTGTTTTTACGGAAATCTCGTTACTGTGAGGATTTTTATTGTATTTAAAAAATTTTTTTATTTTATATATTTTTATATCATTTTTCATTTTTGCACAATCTATGCATTTTCATCTTCGTTATAGTCCCCATACAAAGAATAATTATAATAAAATCAAAATCAACAAGCAACTATAAACCAGAGACACACTACGTGGTGGGGGGAGAGAAGGGAGTAGGATCAAAACAAGGGTGGTGGGAATAGTCTTGACCTTCTCAAGCCTGTGGTCTGGGCTGCTGCCAGTGTGAACAATGTAAATCTTTCTTAATCCTTCCTCATCACTCTTAGGAGAAAGCACAAGCTCCGACACATGCCAACAAGGCCCTTCTGGCCTCTTTCCCCCCATTTACAGGTTCCCAGTTTTTATCATGGGCCTTGCATGTCATTTCCCAGTGGCGATGAACTGACTCCCCACCCCACTGCCCCCCAGCCCCGAGGCAGAGAGACCATGCTTTTCATGTTGCTGCCTTTGCTTTTGCCCTTGTCTTCATCTCCATCTAGTTTGTTGCTCCTCCCTTCCTGTTGAGACTCAGGGAGCATGTCCATTTATTTTTAACACAGTAAGAATCTACCATGTTCCAGGGACTTTTCCGGGGGCTAGAGTTGCACAGCCCCTAATTCTCTCTCGCTGCTTGCATTTTAGAAAGGGGAGACAGAAAAAATGGGGATGCATATAACACAGTCAATTCCCAGTGCTCCAGTGATTAGGGCACCTTGAGTAACTAAGCACGGGCATGTGAGAGTGTGAGTAGAGTAGACACTTGAAATTGTCTGCAAATACTTGGGTTTACTGCTTACCGAACATTATCACTGACACATAAGCTACCATTCTCTGGGACAAACCCGAGGACACATAGTCTGGGAGATATTTGGTGCATGTGACTTCTTGAGTCTCCCCTATTTTGTCATAGGAAGAATTGCATCAATGGCGATGGTGTCTGCTGCTGGAGGTCCCACTCTCATTTCCAGCGTCACCCCAGTTCTCCAACGTAATTGCCTTCTAAAGGACCAAACTCACCCACTGTTCTAAGGCTATTGGTTGTATCTTAACTTGTAGAAATTATTTAGGGGTTTTGGCTGCTATTAGATTTTTGAAATGATGTTACAGCTGGATTTCCATAAAATTTGGGAATCATGTGCCAAATTTTACAGGTCGAGCTGTCTCTACCTTCTGTACTGGGATTGAGGGTGAATTTTCACAAGGAACTGTGGCAAAGGAAAGCCACTGTTGGTGAGCAGTGCCTGAAACTCCAGTGTAGATTTCTGGCAACTGGGCAGAAATAATCAGTGTCTCCTATTTTCCTAAATTAGCTAGCTTTGCACTTATGTGATATTTGCTCTAACTGGAGAGAATCTGGAGAGAGTGAGTTACATCAAATCTACTGACTTTTTCTATTTGTAAATATGCAACTAGTAAACATGGAAACTAGCAAACATGGCCTAGGAAATGCCCTGCAATCTGATCAATTAGTAATCTTTCTGCTTAGTTGCTTGGGGATGGAGCTTTCCTTTCCTAGCTGTTCACATTAGTTTTCTCAATATTGCTCATAAAAATATTTTATAAAAATAAATGTTTAGACATTAAAATTCCCTGCAATAATTTTATGACAGGCTATTCATTAAATGCCCTTGAGCACTTGTTAGAATCCTTTACTAAAATCATTGGCTTGGTTTTGAATAATTAAAATATTTAATGGCCCAGTTTGAAATATTTAGTTGGAGATGGTACAGTGTTATCTCTGACTCCAGGCTAGGGTCTTTCCTACCACGCCACGTGCCCTCTTCCTAATAAAAATTGTCATGCGCTCAGATCAGGAGTGTGCTTCCCCCTGAGCTTTCTCAGGCTTGCACACAGAATAATGTAGGTGGAACTGCTGGCCTCGAGCCTGGCACGGAGTGGGCCTCAGAAAGGGTGCCTGCCCCTTCTTGCCCTCTTTTTTGTTTCATCAGGAGGCCTTGATGATACACTATATATAAACTGTACCAGCCTGGTGAAACAGTCAGTTCCTGGCATTTAGAAATTAAATCTACTTGAATGTTTTCTGTTTGTCCTTTTTTCAGGTGCGCAGAATTTTGATGTTATACGACTGTCAACGTACAGAACAGCTTGCAAATTGCGATTTGTACAAAAGCGTTGTAACCGTAAGTCTAGAGATGTTGCATGTCCTTCCTTGGATTTATGTCTAGGTCTTTGATAACTTATGATACTATTATCAATAGTATTTTAAAATTTCATTGTTATTGTCCTTTAGAAATATAGTGAGTTTTAAGTCTTGATTAGCAATCATTCTAGACTCAAATATTGAGTCATTTATCTGTGGGGTCTTTATGATTTTCTGTGTGCATAATTTTCTCATTTATAAATAATGACAGTTGTGTTTTCCCATTTCAAGTACTTATGCTGATAATAACTGCATCTTTATATTGGTTCAGCCCTCAAATACAATAGAAATGATAACAGTGGGCATTTATTATCTTAGTATCAGAAGAAAGGCTTTCAACAGTTTATGACTACATAATGTTCGCTCCAGTTTTTTATTTTTTCTTAAATAGATATTATCCTTAATCACATAAGAAAGCTCCCTCGTAGGCCTCAGTGGTGGTGCAGGGGTTCAAGTCTCAGCGCTATCAAGATATCACTAGCCACTGCAGCATGAGTTTGATCCCCAGTCAGGGGACTATCCCTCATATGGTGCAGCAGACCTCTCCTGTCTCAACCGCTGCTCTCCTCAGCAGTGTATTTCAGTAGATCCACCTGTTTTGTTTCCCACTGCCTCTGGTGAAGCCTCTCTTCCCCTGCACCTCTGACCTATACCCCAGTTCTTGTATGCATAAATAAATAAAATAAATCTTTAAAAAAAAAAAGCTCCCTAGTAGTATGAGTTTCTTCATATCTAAAGATAAGGTTTATTTTATTTATTTATTTATTTATACAAGCACTGGGTACAGTCAGAAGCGCCGGAGGGTGAGAGAATTCACCAAAGCCAGAGCTGGGAGCAGAGGAGGCAGAAGGACCAAGGTACACTGCTGAGGGGAGCAGCGGGCGGCAGGAGAGGTCTGTGCGCCATGTGGGACCCTCCTCTGGTGGCTGGGGAGCAGCCGGGGAGCAGCCGGGGATCGAACCGGTGCTGCAGAGCTCTGCGGGCAGCTTCGCAACTCAGCGCTCAACCGCTGCGCCACTGGGGAGGCCCGATAAGGTTTATTTTAAAAGTTGTCTTTTTGATAATGATTTCCAACTTAATTTAATTTTGACTATAGAGTATGGTTTATATGATTTTAATCCTTTGATCTTTTTTTAAGAAAGATTTATTTATTTGTGCATACTGGGGTACAGACCAGAGGTGTGGGTGGGTGAGAGGATTCACCAGAGATAGAGTAGGCAGCAGAACAGGTGAATCTACTGACATACACTGCTGAGGGGAGCAGCGGGCAAGACGGGAGAGATCTGCTGCTCCATGTGGGTAGCTCCCTGGCCAGGGATCGAACTCGTGCTGTGGTGGCTGCAGATAGCTTCACAGGTTGTGTCTTAACCCCTGTACCACCAGGGAGGCCCCTCCTTTGATCTTTGTTGAAATTAACTTTATGATTCAGGATAAGGTTACTTATTATACATGTTCTTTGTGTACCTGAAAGTAAAGTATATTCTCTCATCATTACAGCATTTACATACTTTGTTAGTTGTAAAGTTTGTCTTACGTTTATACTTATTTTTTGTATGTTATGTCATTAAGAAGTGTGTTAATAACTCTCACTAAGCTTGTTTGTTGCTGAAGCTACTAGACTAAAGTAATAAAATAGGTTATTCCAAGGCAACATTACCAACTATAAAAAGATTAGAAGTTTTTACAAGCAGCTCTTTATCTTTTCTTTTTTTTTAATATTTATTTATTTATGCATACAAGAGCCGAGGTGCAGGCCAGAGATACGTGGGTGGGGGGTGAGAGGATTCATCAGAGACAGAGCGGGGAACAGAACAGGCAGACTGACTGAAATACACTGCTGAGGAGAGCAGCGGGCAAGACCGGAGAGGTCTGCTGTGCCATGTGGGTTGCTCCCTGGCCGGCCCAGATCAAACTCGTGCTGCAGAGGCTGCGAATTGCTTCATAGTGCGGTGCTTAACCGCTTGCACCACCAGGGAGGCCCAGAAGCTCTTTATCTTTTTTCCTCAAACTATTGCTATGAATTGCACAGATCACTGTTTACAGAGACCTGAAGTAATAGTTCCTTAAATATGAATAAGTCTACCAGTGTTCAGTACATGTAAGTGTTCAGTTGTGAAGGCAGCCCCATACTTAAAAATTGTTGAGCATTTTTTTCTTTGTGATTTAGTCCATCTTGTTGATATCTGGAACATGATTGAAGCCTTCCGAGACAATGGCCTTAACACACTGGACCATTCCACTGAGATCAGCGTGTCCCGCCTGGAAACTGTCATCTCATCCATCTACTACCAGCTGAACAAGCGCCTGCCTTCTACTCACCAGATCAGTGTGGAGCAGTCCATCAGCCTTCTCCTCAACTTTATGATTGCTGCCTATGACAGGCGAGTGCCTTCCATGTTTACTTCATTTTAAGAATGCTTGGCTTTAAATCATCTTCTATAATCCTTGCTAGATTTTTGTCAACCTGGAGTCATAGTTAAAAGGGCGGTTACTCAGTGTAAGTCCTTTAAATCCTGGTTAAATGACAGAGTGACCAAGTGTCCTGAGGCAGGCCACATATGAAGCTCTGTAATATCGAGGAGAATCACACCCCCAAGATATACTGTTTGGTATAATTATAGTTACCTTAACATGCTGTTCTCCACCCTGTGAACGATAGCTGAGTTGTCAGTTTGATTGTAAGGTTTTCTATTTGACTTTTAAATCTAACCTTTATTTTGTAACAGCAGGTGCTCACCTCCAAATTTATAGTCAAATTTTTGGCCGGATTCCTTCTCATTATTATTAGATTTTAAGACTTTAAAACAACTGTCAGGAACAAATAGGATTGAAAAGTTTCTCCTTTAATTGTGCCTTACAAATTAATTTTTTTAATACTTAGGATTTAAAATATTTTATATTAGACAATTAAAAAGTTCAGAGAACAATATTGTAAGCATCTGTGTGTAGAATCTTAGTGAAAGCAACGAGCAATGCCTAAAACTTTTGGGTAGGCTCATTTTTTTCCCTATCAGGTCCTCCCACATAATAATATAGGTAGTTTTATGGTCTGGTCTGGGCCAACAGGTGATGCTTTAACCAGCTTTTTCTATTTTGTAGTAAGAATGTCCATATTCTCAGCATGAGAGAGAGGAAATCTTCCTTGCTCTTCTTCAGTTGAGCCAATTTTGTGGTTTAGAAATTGTGATTTATATCTCCCCTTTCTGTTTCCAACCTGGCCATTACTTCTATGTCTTCCTCTGTCAGCAATAGAAAGCCTTTTCACGTGGACTTCTGCAGTAAGGGAGCCCAGAGGGAGCCAGCCCTTGATCTTGGCTGCATCTGGATTCTGGCTTCATTTCTTCATAGTGGTTGTGGCTTTGTCCTTCTCTTACATCAGCTTCCTCCTATGCTGACCTCAAAAACAAAACAAAACAAAATAACAACAAAGCATGCCAGCAGCTACCAAAGGCTTATTACTCTTTCAAGTCTAGGTAGGGGGAGATAGCCAACTTCTTTTTTTTTTTTTCCTTCAAGCTTTTTATTTATTTATTTATTTATCTATTTATTTAATACAAGAACCGGGGTACAGGCCAGATGCGCAGGAGGGTGAGAGGACTCACCAGAGACAGAGTGGGGAACAGAACAGGCAGACTGACGAAATACACTGCTGAGGGGAGCAGCGGGCGACACAGGAGAGGTCTGCTGCACCATGTGGGACACTCGCTGGCTGGCCTGCCAGGATCAAACTGGCACTGCAGGTTGCAGACAGCTTCACAGTGTTGCACTCAACCGCCTGCGCCACCAGGGGAGGCCCAATAGCCAACTTCTTTCAACACCAAGAAGAAGTACCTTAGCTTTCCTCCAGAAATGTACATATGGGTCATGTATGCGGGCATTATGCTGCTTATCTCAAAAAAATCAGGATTTGTGCCTCTGGGGCAGAGGGTGGTTTAATTCTCACCTTCACCACATGTTGCCTCAAGCAGACGCTGTTGGACTAGATGTGAGATGACAACCCCGGTGATCACCACTAAACACCCTGCAGTGCCTCATAAACTCGTGGTTCCTTTTCTTGTTAAATGATTCCATGATCAACCCAATTCCTCAAATCTGAAACCTCAGAATCATTTCTAATTCTTCCTTCTTCCTCAGTCCCCACTTGTCAGCTGCCAGGCATGTCACTTGTACCTCTGGAATGTTGTGCTTCTCTCCGCCCCCACTGTGGCCATCGCAGGTCCCCCCATCATCTTATGCCTGGGGGATGGTCACAGCTGCTGGGTGGCGTGCATAGACTCCCTCCTCCCCCATTCATTCCTGGAAATGATAAGCGTCCATGGCGAGCCCACTGTAGAACCAGCAGTTTGGACATGGAAATTAATTTGCATTTCTCTCTCCTGTTCCAGCCCACTGGTCTGCACCTAAACAAGCTGACCTTAAATCTGGGTTTGTGTCATATCCTTCTTTAAAAAAATAGCCTTTTCCCACAGAAAGGCATAAACAAAGTACTATTTGGCTTTAGTTGTTTTTCTCATTATAGAGAGTGGTGCTGTGCCTGTATTAGCTGTGAACATCTGTGTGGGGTACTTCTGGGTACCAGCATCCTCCAGCCCAAGATAACAGGGGTAGTGGGGGGCAGTGTCACCAGGATCCCGTCTGCTTGGGCAGGCCCCTCAGTACAATCAGAGTTACTCCGTGTTTCAGCCTTTTTGTTTGCCACCCTGAAATCAGATCACCTGCACTGGAAATGCCATTCAGCCACTGCATTCACCTCCTTGGGCATCCAACCTCCCTCCAACTAGCAATTCAATTGTTAGCCCCCATTTGCATTCAAAGGGTTTTTAAAAAAGCCCTTTACTTTATTTCTACTTTTACTCAGAGCAAGAAGTGAGCAGAATTAATCTGTCCTTATTAGAAGTACATTATTTCTTCAGATAATCTGCTCTGTTTTTCAAATTTTTCTCTTTTTCTGAATGTTGGAACATCTGCTTCTGTCCTCTTTATCTCTCTCTTTTTTTTTAAATTTATTTGTTTATTTATTTATACAAGCACTGGGTACAGTCAGAAGCGCGGGAGGGTGAGAGAATTCACCAGAGCCAGAGCAGGGAGCAGAGCAGGCAGAAGGACCGAAGCACACTGCTGAGGGGAGCAGCGGGTGGCAGGAGAGGTCCGCGCGCCATGTGGGACCCTCCTCCGGTGGCCGGGGAGCAGCCGGGGATCGAACTGGCGCTGCAGAGGCTGCGGGCAGCTTCACAACCCAGCGCTCAACCGCTGAGCCACCGGGAAGGCCCTATCTCTCTCTTTTTTGAAAGATTTATTTATTTATGCATAGAAGAACTGGGGCACAAGCCAGAGGTGCGGGGAGTGAGAAGATTCACCAGAGACAGAGTGGGGAGCAGAACAGGCAGATCTACTGAAATACACTGCTGAGGGGAGCAGCTGTTGAGACAGGAGAGGTCTGCTGCGCCTGGCCGGGATTGAACTCAGGCCATCTCAGTGATAGCACTGAGGCTTTACCCCTAGGCCACTAGGGAGGCCCTGTCTTCTTTATCTCAATGTTTTTCACATGATTCAATTTCTTTAGCTTTTTCTACTTTTTAAGAGAGTTTATCAACTTACATTTTCAATTCATTAATTTGGCCTTTGTAATTGTTTATCTCATTTACTTTATTATATTCTAGCTATTGAATTTTTCATAACTAATATATCTGCTTAATTCTTTTTCGTGTTTTGTGGTTTGTGTTTATTTTGCTAAGTCTCTTTTCATATGTTTATTTTTAAGTTCTTTGTCCATTTATTCTAATACATGCTCTTGTGAAACTGGTGTGTGTTGCTCTGTTTGTTGAGTTTTTAAAATATACCTGTACTCCATGTCTAAGTACTGGCCTTAGAGTGATACTTGCAGTAGATGTGGGTGGACCTGACACCCACATGTATGGTCCTTCCAAGCATGTATGTTAGGGGTGGGAAGAAAAGGGGCTGTCTCCATGTAGGAGTATGAAGTTTCTCAGCATTCCAAATTTAAACTTGGCTTACCAGGCCATTATGAAGGTAACTTAGACAGGGCACATTGATAGAACATTTTAATCAGTGATCTGTTAGCTTGATTGGTGACTATAATATCTAGATACATGTCTGTGGGCCTCTGTAATCTTGCTGCTGCAGGGGCAGGCCCAGTGCCAACTACTGATTGAGCCATAGTGATTTCTGACAAAATACATACATTTTAGATGATTTACCACATTTTGAATTGTACTTTAAGCTTTCATAGTTTAATCTTGACAGAGTAGTCTTCTTGGATAGTTTTTGTAGTCTCTGTTTTCCTCTACCTATATAAGAGAGAAAACTATTCTGTGTTGCATTGCTGAAAAATTCCTTTTACTCTTATCTGATTATTGGATCTTATTTTTCCTCTATTTTTTTCATCAGCATTGATTTATAAATGAGACTTGGGCCTTCACCAAAAGTGTTGGCTCAGGGATATAATGAAATTCTACCTTAACTGAAGCAAGTCTAAAAAAGAAATCATATAGCTAATGAAAACTAGGTTTGGATAAAAAATTTTAAAATATGTCAGTATTGAATATATCTTTGAAAGACTCAGAGTTGTGTTTACCACTAAAATAGCACTTAGTAGAAAACGCTCTTGTTAACTTGAACAATCTGAAGAATTCTCTAGTGTAAAGATGTTTATATACTGAATTTATGGTAGATTTATATGAAAAAGCCCCTGTGTACTTGGGAAATATGGCTGAGAACTGTTTTTAAATCTTATTTTAGCAGTTTCATTTGGATACATTTAGAAGTTTACATAGTTCCCTCTTAATGAATGCTAAAAACAAAACAGTATAAAACAAAGCAAAAACGTACATTTTAAATAAAAGCAAATATATTCCTTCCATTGAGAATCTGCCCAGTTGACATGCTGTGGAATGGACATTGCTGAAAAAAAGTTAATATTAGATCCCGTTTTTCCTCATCAGTAATCTTTAAACAAAAACGAATTTCCTGGAAGGCACAAAACATCTCATGTATATGGACAGTATTTACTAACATCTCTGCTTGTTCTTAGATGAATTCAGGATGACAGGAGAAAAGCCAGCTCAGTAAAGTAAGGCGAGAGCTCGTGCCGATGGGAAGTTTTTGATGCCCACAGTTAACTCTGATGGGATCGCATCATAGCTCTTTTAGTAAATTTTCAGGGGCTGGTAGAGAATGAACTAGAAACTTTGATTGTTTTAAAAATGGTGAAATCTGAAGGGGAAACATCACAAAATGGAAAAAATGCAGCTGCTCTGGGGGTAGAGGAACGGGGCCCTGGGCCCTCTGCCCCTGCACTGCTTGGTGCTGTTGTGTGGATCTGGCTGTGTGACGTGTGCGGTGACATCACAAGACAGGCTGA